TGCCACTGAATCCTTGAACACTGGTTCTGTTGAACCTCCAGAGCACCATGTTAGTGACCTTTGTAAAGGTTTGATTGCCACCATTAATGTTTCTGCTGCTTGCATAATCCTATTCCTGTCTCTATGGCAAGTGCTCAAGCTGTACATCCCTTCTGCCTGCTCTAAGAAGCTGAAGGGGAAAATGACTGTGGATAAGTAGAATTCAGTCTTCAGCACCTTCTCTGTTGGATCTGTCTGTGTTGAAGATGAATATTTGCTGCTGTGTCATGGATTTCTGTAGACATCTGAGAGCTCACTTATGCTGCAAGTCTTGGAGGCACTTGCTTTAGGGCTTTATGTTCCTTGGAGTTTGCCCTAGAAGGCTGGATGAGATGGTAAATGGAGTAGGATCCATCCCTACAGGCTCCTTGAGCTCACAGGCACAGTCAGGTTTTATAAGGTGCTCCTAAAGAGCCCAAGCAATCTTCAGCTACTCTGTTTTTCTTCTATTTCTCCCAGTCTTGTCCAAATTTTCCTGTAGAAGTGGAGCAATAGGTTCCCTAAGATCAGCAGTTATGGATCTCAGGTTTGATGGCAACTGAGCTGTGCTTTCCCAACTTGTCTTCCAAGTGTTGCCATTATGTGGTAAATCCCAGCCTTGTCTGGTCTGGATTGGCCAAGTGTTAAGACCCACCATGAGCTTCCTCCTGGGCAGTGAAGCATCTTGCCCTGGGATCACATCCTTGTGTCCTTGGGCGTGCTGTGTGTCTGGGCTTCACCCCTGGCAGCTGAGCAGGCTGGAGGGAGGCTGCAGCAGGAGAGCACAAGGCACTTGATGGCTTTTCCTTTATAGAAGGTACAGAACTGCGGCGCAAAGTTTGGAATCACTGCAGGAAATGTGTAAACCAAAGTGCTTATTTTTAGTTGGATACATCCTGTCATTCCTCAGCCTCAGGCCTTTCAGCTGGAGAAGCCAGGAAGGGAGGACTTTACAGAATAGATTTATGTGCAACATCTCAAAGTCTAAACTTTCATTTAATTTTTTGGTCCCAAATATTTCCTCTCCAACCTCTCCACTACACTAGGGGTCAGCTGGGGATAAGGAGTAGGTAACTCCTAGTTCACTGTATTAGCCCTGAGAACATAGAAGCAGCAGCACTTACTCAAGCAGAAACAGCTCAGAGCTCCTCAGGCTTGATCTCCAGCTTAATTCTTAGAAAGTAACTGTATTTTTTTTTTCCCCTTTACCCTCATCTCGCTGAGCTTTTCCATCTCTGCTGTTTTCTGGATTCCTTGGTGCCCTCACACATTGCTGCTTATTCTCTAGTGTGAGAGGAGTGTGTAAGACCAGGATCAATCCATGGATTGATGCTGCCTTATGCTGGGAACACCAGGAAGGATAGTGGCTTGTGCTGGGAACCCAGTGGGGTTTGGAATGAGAGCAGCTCCTGAATCCAGTGTTCTGTAGCAAGGAAGCTGCATTGAATATTTAGACAGGAGCTCTTGTCTTTGCAGTGCCTCAGGCTCTGCTTTCACACGTGAGCGATCCCAAATGCTGTCTGTGAGCCACACAACAAGCTACTCCTCCTTGCTGGCATCCAAGCAATAAAAATAGTTCATACTTGGTTTCCCAAAACACTATTGCAAATAAATGAGTGTGAAAGAGGCTGCAGAAAAATACACACCAGTCTGTCCCAGTGGTTTGAAGCTTGTGGTGGTAGAGAGGCTGTCTGGGAGGCTAATGGTATGAAATGATTTTAAATCTGCTGATAGAATGCAGTACAGCAGTCCTGGTCCAAGAGCACAGCTGATGCCCAGAGTTGATGGTAAACAGCCTAAAGGTGGTTGAATTTGCTGAGATGAAGGGAGGTAAAACTGATCCAGACTCGTCTGTCTCTTGCACCTGTCTTGTTTACTTTTTTGCACTTCTAACCATTAACTGTTTCCCTAATCTCTGCTAATTACATCCTTATTTGCATTAATATGCATTTTCAAATCTTTGCAGGAGAGCCTAAATTAGACAGTGTTGAAGGAGTGTTGGGAAGAGCTACTCTGGAGCTGTAGGGGTCAGAGCACAGCAGTCTCTCCTAACCTTCTGCTGTGTTGTAGGGCTGGAGTACAGCAGGAGCTTCAGGATGTTGTACTCTACCCTTTGCCTACACATTAATCCGTGTAGTTTAATGACTTCTTCAAAGCTTTCCTACTGCTTCCCAGGCAAGCTGCATAACTTGGAAAAGGGACATTGTTAGGTCACTTTGGGGCCAAAACTTAATTAGAAAAACATCCTTAAAAACTTGAGCTCCAAGTGTGTCATGTGAAATCTGAAAGTAAAAATGCCAAAGAAGTGAGATTTGTCTGTTGCAACTGGTCAGGCAGAGAAAGGCAAAAGCTGCGTAAATGTCTTAATTATTTTCCACTGCAGTTTTTGGGGTGGAGGTGCTGGTGATCAGGGGAGCTCTGCTGTGTTCAGAGCTGAGGTGTAACCCAGAGGGTTCTGGGCTTTGAGAACAAAGTAACCTGAGAGTGTCCCTTGAACGACAGAGCAGCCAGTTAGCAACTTAACATTCTTTCTTCTATCACTGTTATCTTAGTCTTGCTTTTATAATGATACTTAGCATTCATCCTTTCATTAACTGATGCCTTTTCTTTCTTTCCTTTTCAGCAATACTGGAGTAAATCGCTTCCTAAACAATTTTGCAGCAATGTAAGGTTGTTTGTTGCGTGCATGTGTTTATAGCAACACATCTACCAAAACTTCTGCATGTATCCTGTAAAGATTCTTTGCTTTGCCCTAAAAAAAAAAAAAAAACAAACAAACCAACCAAACCTCATTGTGTTCTCTGTGGAAGAAATGTGTGGTACCATTAGGACTTCATGATACAGATGTACAAACGTGCAATATAGCTTTTCCGAGTCGGAACTCTCTCTCCAGAGAAGTTTGGGTTCTGTGCTGCATGGAGAAGAGTTTGGTTCTCCTTGAACAAGAGCTATGGAGCTGTCAGCCAATTTCACATATTCCTGTACGTAAAATGTCAGTTTATACCATGTACAATAGCAGAATAATGCATGCCTTGGGTTGTAGACTCTGTATTGTATCAGCCAAACATCCTACTCCAACAGCTTCTGTAAAATGCTCTCCTGTTTATAAATCCATGGAAACAAATACAGATGAATGTTAAACCTTAAGCCTCCACTTCGTACCTTTGGATTTTTTTTAATCATCTGTGCAAATCAACCTCTTTTGCACTGTAATGTAACTTATTTAACTCTAAGGCAGTGAGACAGATGTTGGTGCAATACAAACTATCATGATGCATTTCTCTCTCAGAAGCAACGACGTAGCCAGTGCCCACAGCTGCATGTGTGACCTTTAGAAGTTGTAAATAAGATCATTTGTCTCTTGACATGCTGACAGTAAGGAGCATCACACCTCTAGTTTCATTTGTATCAGGTAAATAAATTTATTCTACAATACCTACTTGGTGTGGTATTTCATGCACTTTGGTTCCTGCAGGTCTGTGCTTACTTCAGCTCTTACTTTAATGCCAGGATAACACTTTTTAGCACCAACACCATTGCAATCTTTCCTCCTAGAACTATGCAGATGCCAACTGCTCCTCCGCAGTATTGACCTCCTCACTGGTGTGATTTCCTGTGTCCAGGGGCTTGTGTGTGTGTTTAAGGGACACTGTCAAGTACTCTGATCACTCAGCTCTTTTTAAAATGCTCCATTGTTTGTAAAATCCCTCTGAGAAACCTAAAATAAACAATTCTTTCCCAACTACATCTTTATTTTTTTGTTCTTTTCTATTTTCTAAATTGCCCCAGCCTAAAGTAGCTCCTGGTTTCTTCCCCTTCTGTAGGCACAAGTAAGTTGAACCAACTGTTTGTTCCAAACCACACCATGAGCATCCTGCTGGGAGTGCTTGGCAGTCTGGGCTCACTCCAGCCCCCAAACCATGGGCTGGAGGAGTTAGGCAAGGCTAAAGCACTAAGCGTAAAGCTGGATTTTCCAAGCGTCCTGTAATGCTCTGCTCCAAAGCCCAAACACTGCATTTTGCTTGGACTAAGAGGCAACTTGAGGAATGTGTTTTAAATGAAATGTAATGTCTCTCAGCCTCCAGCCCCTGATAGCAGCACTTTGCTGGCAAACCCTTATCCAAACGAGGTGACACATTTGAGACCCTTCAACCACCACAGTGTGAGGTTTAAAAATACAAGGCTTGAATTCCACTGTCCAGCAGAACTATAGGACGGTGGAGGAAGTGTTAGTGCATCGGGCTGAGCTCTGGTGGCTGCTTCCTATGCTGGAAGTGTTGAGGGCAGGCTGAGTGCTGCTGCTCACCCCCGGGCTGGGGCTGGCACTGCCCAGCTCAGCACTGTTACCTGCTGCTGCAGCTCTTCCCGTGCTGGATTTAGAGCACGCACTGGTGGCACAGCTCTTCCCACAGGGACAGCATGGGGCACACAGACACCTGAGCGAGTCATTACAGACACTTGTCCAGAGCAGGTGGAGGAAACTGCCCCATTAGCACCTCATCCCTGGTCAAAACCTCTGCCTGGCTCTAATGAGGAAGCAACCAAAGGGAAACCAGAGACTCACTCGGCAGCTGAAGTGTTTCTCACATCTCAGCATCACATGTTGTACCAAGGCCTGTGTGGAACTTGCTCCTGCCGTGCTGATCTGCCCCTTTCAACTCGCAGAAATTGCTGTCCCCAGTGCCGGTGCCGAATGTAAAGCTCAGTGACATACCAAGTGGTTACTCGGGAAACACCTGCTGTCACAGCGAGGAACATTCCTCGGATGGTTCCAGCATCCCTGAGTTCAGGCAGTGTCTCACGGGCAGCAAACTGACGCAAACCCCACACTTTGAAGCATTCCTTTAACTGATGAGCTGCAAGCTTACGGCAGAACACGTCCCTGAGCTGAACTGCAGGCAGAATTGCCATGTGAGGAGAACGTGATGCTCAGTAGGTTGCCACGGTACTCTGTAAGAGATGCTGAAATAAACAGCTTCATCTTCCCCCTCCTCCTCCTCCTCTCCCTGCAAACCCCCAGCTCTAATGCAGCTCATGGATGAGCCTACTGACAGCTCAGAGCAAGGAAGCAGCTCCTCATAGCTCAAGTTTTGAGGCATTATGAACATATTACATCAAACTCTAAAATAGGGCAGGAAATAGCCATTTTTGCCTGAAGGTGAATTTGTGTGTGTGATTAGAGCCCACACCCACCTCCAGGACAGTGAGTGAGGAACCAGAGAAGCCTCGGAGGGAGATGACAAATTTTCTTCCCAACTTCAGCTAGGAAAAAGCCACAGGAAAAGGCATGAGGCTAAGAGACAGACCAGCAAGCCCCATGCTGCTCAGTCTGCAGAGCTCTGAGTACCTGAAGACTTCTAAAATATTTCATCCCAACAATTTAACCATGTGGAAGTGCAGAGATGACTTTGGACACCGATTTAATAGACTCCAAGGATTTACGTCAGTAGGCCAAGTTCCTACCCTTTGTTTGATTAGAGATGGTGGGAACAAGCCCTGTTGTTCCCTGCTAACTGAACCTGTAAGGGTTATCCCCTTATAACTGAGTCCATATGGGTGATCCTGTTCCCACTCCTGGAGCAGTGGCAGGGAAGGTGCAGTGTGATAGGAGTACCTAAACTCATCAATTTGAATTAGAGCTCTTGAGACAGTGCCAACTTGCATGTGAGCCAGTCATGGGATTTTGCTGACATCGCTGACATGAAGCCAAACGTTCCAGTCTGGCTCCTCAGACTTGGCAAAGCAAAGGACCTTTAGGTTGATTTTACACCTGTAGGATCAGGAGCCTAAGGAAAGCAGATGAGAGCAGGGAGGGTGCGTTCAGCTCCTGGTGTGAGCTGCTCTTCACGTGTCACTCAGCCAAAGGGACTGTCCATGTCCTGCAGACTCAGTGACCCTGAATGGTGTGCAGCCTCCAAAAACCACTTGGTATGTTCCACCTGCACTCTGAGGCAGAATAAAGCCCAGACACACCACCAAACACCCCAAACCTGATAAGCCCAGGCTGCTACAAATGCCTGCTATTGATACAGGTGGCAGAGTCACTTTTTCCTCCTGACGCAGCAGGCAGGGAACACTGCTCCATGCTGGGGAAGATAACATCCGTAGCTGACAACAGCTCACACCTTCATAAGCAAGTCAGCAGCTCCAGTGCCTGTGACTGCAACACACCAAGGGCTTGGATCTGGCTGCTGCCTCACAGGCAGTGAGGAAGGACACCCCAGAAAGAAGGCATCACCTAAAAGAAGTTCCTCTTGTCGCTGTCCTTTGCTGTGACTTAAGCACAAACACAGACCTTCAGTTAAGGCATGAGACACCTGCAGCAGACAAACCTGGGGCAAGAAAGCTCCCACTACCCTTAACTCATCAAATGGGGGTCCTTTCCCTCCCTAGAAAAACAACCTCACTGTCCATAGCTGGGCTGACCTGGGGCTGCCATGCCAACAATTCATGGTGGAGTTCTTCAGCTTTCCAGAGGTTCCTGCCAAATACTCCTCACCTCACCATGTAGCAGTTCCAGCTCTAAGTTGCAGTGGCTGCTTTGCTGTGCACACAGTGCACCTCTGGCTGTAAGTTATGGGTTCCAAATCCTGTGCCATTATGAAAGCAAAGCCTTTGGCTAGTGGGCACTGTCAGCTTCTCAGGACATCCCGGAGGGGCTTTATGCCCTCAGTGAACTGACAGCACAAGAACCCAAACCACAGGCACCGACCTGTGTTCCCAACCCAGCCATCAGGTGCTGGCAATTCCAGCCTCAGACAGAGTACAGGCTCATGATGGGCTGAGTTCCAACCCCACACTGTTCCTGCTCACAGCTCTCAAACCTCTCAGAGATAAAAACCCAAACAAACAGGAGGAAATCAATATAGCATCGACTCAATCTCCATTCAGTAAGATGAGGCACAGACTGCAGAACCAGGGTCGAATTTCCAAAGCACCCAGAACCTGCTTTAACAAGTCCTTCACCTCTCCCAGCTACACAACCTCCTGAGCAGCAATGCTGACAGTTCTGCCCACGTAGCATTGTGGCAATCAGATTCCACAATGGAACAGCAAAAAGATGTTTGTGCCATGCCAAAAGGAGCCTGAAGAATCAATCTGTGACTGCAAAGCACCAGATCTGCACCAGCACACACAGCAAACCAGAAAAAGGCTATGGCTACTGCAGCAGGAACCAGGTGCTAACTCCCTTAGTGCAGGTTGAAGGACAGTGCTAATAAAGGTGTTGAAGAGAAATTCAAGCACCTAAGACTGAAGTCTTGAATTCTTCTTAAGTTGATGCTGACCCTGGAGCACAGAGACTTCCCAGGATAGTTCTACTCTCTTCTTGGAAATTGAACCTCCCTGCATGCCCAGCAGCTTGTTGCCCTATCCAAGGAATGCCTGTAGCAGGCTGTAAATCTCTCTGCACCTCTTCAAGGCCAGGTGATGGATGCTCTTCCTTCTACTCTGTAAAGCCTCTGAATTGACAGCTCAGACGGTAAATCACAGCACAAAAAAATGATCTGTTCCCATCACCTTTTCTGACAAGAGGCAGCAGGAACAAAAGCAGAAATCACAGCACAGGAAGGGTTACATCCCTTTTCCAAAAACTTATGTCCAGAGTACTGAGTGGAAGGTCCTTAACACCTCCGAGCCCAAAACTGCTGTGAAGGTACAAACACTTGACCTCAGGCCTTATCGAATTGGCTCAGTTTCAGTGTGACATTATCCTCCACAGAGCCAACACCAAAAGGTTAGCAGAGCCACCTCCTCCCGTCCTACCTATTAAAAGCTGTCCTGGAGAGTTGAATAGAGGTGACAGCCTGCCTCCATGCTCTTTTCCCCCTCTTGGCATAGCCAGCAGCAAGGACAGAACCTGGGAGCCACCTTGGCCAGGGGCAGTGGGAATTTGAGCTAACAGGAATTGCTGCTTTGTTCAGGGTAATGCCCAACTTTCCCTGTTAGTGACACTGACACCTGCACTCCAGATTGGCACAGACAACTGAAGTGCCCCAGGTGAACATTTTACTTTTCCCTGAGTTGTGTTTGCACCAAAATAACTATTTTTTATTATTTATTTCCCCCCCAAACCATCAGCCCTAGATATCTCCCTCCTCTTGGCCAGCTTCCAAATGACATCTTAGCCAGCCTAGGAATGCAGCAGCAATTGCAGCTGCAGCCCCATTCCCCCTTTCCAGGCCAACATTCCTGTGCCCCTTTCCTCTGCGATCTGGTTACTGGACTGACACAAGTGTGTTAATTATTACCAAGGCCTCAGCCCTGAGCTCCAGCAGTTCAACAGCTTCACAGCTCCAGCCCCCTCCTCATGCTTAAACCCACCAACCTTTTGCAGGGCTGTGAACAGATAAAGGAGTTATGAATATAGCAGGGAAAAAAAAGCAGGAAAAAGGTTTGCAGAGTTAAAAAGGGAGAGGAGTGGGAATGCTTTCGAAGGAGGTTCAATTCACATATTACTGTCACCCTGGCAGTACAGGAATGTAACGGGAATCATTCTTTAGGCTCACACTGGATCCTTTCCATGAAGAAACTAGACTAAAATGCACTGTCATGTGCCTGAGTTCTGCTGGGCACTACATAAAGTTGTGCCAAATCACTGATGGGCAATACTGAACACACAGTGATCCAGAACATCCTACTTTAAGCCCCGCCTAAGGCAATTTAATTTGAAATCCTAGGTCTACCCTGAGTTTAACAACCTAAGGACACTAAATTTAAGACTCCTGGAGACTGCACTGGTTTAGATCTTGCTTTCCAGAAGATATTTGCTTGTGATATATTTGTGAAACTTGAAACGACAGTGGCAGATATAGCCTTGGAGATCTTCTTACCACTGAGCTCCAAGTGAGGAATACACTTTCCTGAGTAAGAAATCCTGCTGCTTCTGCCCTGGATGGATCAGTTTCCACATCACTGAGCGCCTGAAAAGCAAGGAGGGAAGAATCACCACACAAAGAGGCCTAACGAGGAAGACAGTTACTGCAAAGAGAGGAGAGAAAAAAAGGTCTAGTTAATCAAAAATCTCTCTGCAATCAGCAGATCACTTTCCATCACTCCTTGTCTCTCCTATCACAATGCAGGAAAGAATTAGAAATTACTAATGAAATATGTGGTTTAAATTCAAGGATTTCAGGCAAACATGAGCACTCTGCCCTCAGCCAGCCCAGCCTGGCACCTCACACATACCAACACTATGCAATACAACGCGTTGCATGGCAACAGCTTTCTGCCTCGTGTAGGAGCCGCTTGGCTTCCACCACTGATTTGCCACAGCCTGAGCTTGAGTTTGTGGCTTGTAATCTTTTCTTCTAGGGTGCACAGCACATGACTAACGGAGGGAATGAGGTCAGCTGCTTATTAAAGGCTAATCGTTATATTCCCTGAACTAAAATGCCACTAACTGCATTGGAGAGTACAAGAACTCTGCAAAACCAGAGATCACACTCTAAAATTAGAGCACTAATAAAGACTCATTAATAGACAAGATGAATCCCTCTAGAATTCTGAAACTGCTGCCAAATATATCTCTATAGCACCTTAAAGTTCCTTAGTCACTTACTGAACATTAGCAAAGATTCCCCACACTACGTAGCCCCAAACACATCAGGTACTCACTGAGGTATTCGCAGGATCTGACAACTCTTCCTGTTCAGAAGGAGCTAAGTTCTCAGGAAACCAAAGCACTGAGGACACAACTCTGTTGTGATAGCCATCTCAAGGTGTTCCTAGGTGCACTTGGACTTGTTTGCTGAAGCTGCACCAAAGCACACTCATCTTGAAGTAGTTTTAGTTTCCTGCCTATTCTCAAATGAGATAGTATCAGATAATCTACAGAACTGGTTTAACAAAACTGTGGTTCTCCAATTTACTGTTCTTTGCTTCAGAGAAATGCTAAGACCAGAGGTTTTCATCTCTGATTAATGACCTAGTTTAGGGAATCATTGCAATAAAATGGCTGAAATATATATCACATCCCTCATATGCTCCTTATCACAATTAAATGTGTCCTTTCTTTAGTTAATAATAACACCAACTACTCCATTTTCACCCACAGCAGAGCTCTGAAATACAGCTAGGAAGAGGAGATGCTTTGAATTTGCTTGTACGTCTTTCTTTCTGTTATGAGACATGTGATGAGCTGAAATCTATTCACTGCATCCCACAGCAATGGTACAAAAGAAGAACAGGATCAGGCCCCTCATCCCCCAGAAAGCCATTAAGTTTTCTCTCCCTGAAACACATCCATTTGGTGGATTTGCTCAGTGGAAGAGCAGGAGCAGCTTATGCCAATCCAATCTCAACAGCAGCACATGCTTTGCTGTACTTCCTATAAAGCCTTCAAATAACCATAACTCCATTTATTTTGGAAAGTCTAAAGCTCACAGAATTCCAGAGACAGTAGACACCCAGCTGTTGTCTTTTTTTAAACGGATAAACTATTAGACTCCTCCTTTGGAAGAGGTGACATCCCAAAACATTTCCAAAACAGACTATAATAGAAGTAATCTGCCTATTTTTTGTTGTGCATTTCTGATACATCACAGAGAGATGATATTTCATCCTTCTCTGCCTTACAGGGAGAAGCTTCTTTTCCACGTCATGTATTTGGATCAAACTGCCATTTTTTCCTCAATCTGAGACTCAAAACTGGGTTTTAGCTTTCTAAAACAAGTGCTGCCGCATACCTATGGTGAAAAAATAAATACAAAAGGAATTAAATTGCTAATATAAAGGTAAAAACCCATGTTTTGGTAAAGACTAAGGAAATCAGAACTCTAAGAACAATCAGAAGTAATTCTTCCTCCCACACCTCAAGCCCACAGAACTGAAACAGTTTCTAGGCTACCCTTAAAATGCTGAGGTAGAGAATTTGTATGTGAAGCAACTTTGCTTCACAAGGTGAGGAGAAAACACATGAATTCAAATATTACTGACAAAAACATGAAGTATATAAACATGGAAACCCCAAGACAACATGTGTATTTGCATAATTTAGCATTTCTCTAGCAATGCAAGGGAAGAGGGTTGAAGCCTTTATATACCACTTTAAATGTCAGTGCTGTATACAGAATGTGAAGTGCTTTGTGCCACTGCTGAAAAACCTTTCAGGAACATTCTGAAATGAAACCAAACTGCATTTTAGAATAAATGCTCATGTACAGACTCTAAGTGGTTCCAGGGTTGAAAAAGGGCTAAGGAAATGACTTTAATTCAACACCATCGGCTCAATTCTGTACAGAGAGGAATCGGTCAACTACAAAACGTGTCCAAGTTGCCTATTGTCCCAAATTCTCCTGTACAGCACAAGTAATGCCCCAGAAAAAAGACAAATTAACTCAACAAACACAGCAAGCGGAAAGTGCTGCTTCCAGCCACACCCAAGCAACGCCAGACTTCAACAGGAGTGTGAGCCCAAGCAGTAGCATACAAACAAGAGTGAGACCTTTCCAACTCCACCAAGCACACTCAGCCCTGGACAGAGCTTAGCCATTGTTCTCACCACAGACAAGAGGCTCATTACACACCTCAGATTCTGATGGCTTTAGTTTGAACAGGAACTGCTCAAAATGAAAGCTGCAAATAACCTCTGATGCAGTTAGTCCCTTACACTTAATAAACAAGAAGCATCAAGAATCTTCATGGTACTGAGATGCACAGAACTATTCAATGGTTTCAGTCTATTAAAAAAACAACAAAAAGTCCTTAGTCACTGGAAAAAAAAATCATAGTTTATGTTCTTCAAAGAAAAATGGCCCTAGGGGTGTGTTTGAGTACCAAAACAAGCAGCAGGAGAGGTCTTTACTGCATCCCAAACCACTGCTCTTGATCTGCCCACTGAGCTGCTTCACTGTCACTGCCTTCCAAGTCCCCTTCTTCTCCACTTCCCTCCATGTCATCCACATCTTCTTCCTGGGTGGCATCTGTTGGACTTTCCTCTTTTTCCATCTTCTGCATTCCTTCTAGTGACTTCTGATCATTAGGATCCAAACTGAGGAAGGAAAGAAACAAAAAAGAATTGTCCTTAATATTTCCTTTCCTCTTTATTTGTGGCCTTAGTGTAAAAATAATAAGAAAATCTTATCTTCTTGTCGGCACTTCCTGTTTAACATCATCAAGAATCTTATCTTAGTGGATGATGCAACTTCACCTCAGGCTCAGGTACCACTGAGTATTAAATCACTGTATAAAACAGTTTTGATCCTCAAGAACTTATCTAAACAGAAAACTTAGTCACCTCTTCCAACAACACTAATTATAGTGACAGGAAAGCAGTATAAATTTAAATGTCTCTGACTAAATATGTTATATGCAAGCAGAAAGCAGCTGAGCCATGTAAGCTATACAAGTTTATAGCTGACATAATGTGCTAGATTTAAGGCAAATTGAAGCTGTTGCAATGAAAACATGGGAATATTTAACATAGGAACACTCTGAAATAACATTTAGGTTATGTTGAATCACACTATTTAAATCTACTGAAGAGTTCATTATTCTAGAATGGATCTGAAGGTGCCTGGTTAGATAATTATTAATAATTATCAATAATCCCATGTGTTACTACTCCTCTTGTTAGCAAAGGAATCACACGTCTAATGACATGTTTAACATTAATGCAGTGCCTAAATTTTGCACTTCTCAGTTCAAAGTCTTAGGCCCAACTAAGTCATTAGTGGGATGTCATTTGTTTGGTTTTAAGGAGAATTATATAAAGTCACCTCTGATTGTCATCCTAATTAGATGAGAATCCTAGTTCTCAATTAGAAGCTTGATTTTTTCACTTAAGTCAAGCTGATTATTGGTTCACACAAATCTCCTACACTCTCAGGGTGTGCTTTACCTCAGGGCTATGCTGTACTGGTCCATTGCCTCCTGGTACTCATTGACAGCCACAAGGAAGTCTCCCAGGATCCGGTGCAGAACACAGTCACTCTGGTTAGCCAGTGCATTCCTCAGCAAAGCAATTCCATCTTCATACTTCTGCTCTCTACCTGTTCAGAGTACAGTTTGGATAAATCTACAAAGTCAGACTGTTCACAATTGCTTTAAGTGCTGGTGTAATATCTATTGCTGGATCCAACTAATCCCTGTGATTTTGACTTCAGGATAGAACTGATGAACCCCTGGATGTAACATCACTGTTTCACTCTTCACATGGATGAGGCTGCAGAACACTTCCCACTTAAAAGAATATCTTTGAATAAACCAACATGGGGAAAGTGAAAAAAGGAACTTACTAAGAAGTTCTGCTTTCTTTACCACAGCTTTAAGGTAATCAGGTCTTTGTGTTAGTGCTTTGTCCAGTAAGGTTTTTGCCTTTTCCTGCGTGACTGGGTCCTCCAGACAGACTGTTGCCAGCAGAGTGAGTGTCTGTGCATTTGCTCCCAGGGTTTTGTACACATTGTTTGCCATCACCATTGCCTCTCGGATGCTGTTGGATGCCAAGTAACACTCAATGAGGCCTGATGAGAGAAAACAGTTCCGTTTTGAGTCAGCACCACAGACACTCAAACTCCCAGGATTAGGGGAGGGGAGGAGGGAAAAGGGAAAGTTCCCCGACCTTCATAGCAGTCTAGGCGGCAGGGGGCGAGCCGGATGGCCTCGCGGAAGTGGATTATTGCCTCCTGCACGCGGCCCATGTTCCTCAGAGCCGCTCCCTTGAGCAGCAGAGCCTGCACACTGTTGCTGTTGAGCTGAATGGCTTTGGCTCCCAGGTACAAGGCACGGGAGTAGCGTTTGCTGTAGAAACTGTGACACCTACAGAGAGAGAATAAGAAGCAGAAATGTATAGTGTGTGGTGAGTGTACACAGGCACAGAGGGGAAAAGGGAGGGAAAAGAGGAAAAGGAGGGCGGAAAAGGAGGGCGGAAAAGGAGGGCGGAAAAGAACTACAGGCAACTGCTGAACTTGTTGCATTTGAAGTGAAAAATAGATGTTCAGGAGAAACACTCAAACTCTTCAGGAGTGCTAACTCCAATACATTTAAACAAGCAGAGAAGAACCAAAATAGCTCTTTATGGATGAGGTAAGAAAAGAAAGAAACCAACCTACCCAGACACCACCCAGGGTTCTGCATGCTGGTCAGAAATGTTGAAGAGACGACATCCCAAGTTCTCCACATCCTCCAGCCGCCCCTCACGGGCCAATAAATACCCATACACATCCATCCCTGAAGAGACAGGTTGAAAATCAATACCCAACAAATGGAAACTCCAGTCACAACAAGAAAACAAAACCCAAACCCACAAATACCTACTTTGAACTGTGCAACTACCAGTAATGGTTGAAAACACGCAGCTTCCAAATGTCAATTCTGAATTGAAAGCTGAGTAAAATAATATACAATATTCCACTGCATGTAGTTGTTACTCATCAGATCATTACATTAGGTCAACCTTCTTTTAGGATTTACTCACCTTTTATGAGGTAAGGATCCAACATTTGTGCCTGTTCAAATTTCAGAATTGAGTTTTTATTATCTCCAGCTCTGAAGTACAGATCTGCTAAGCTCCCCAGCAAGTCCACATTGTCCCTTAGCAATGACTTCTTCTCCAGAGAGCTTAAAGAGGAAAAACTGCCTATTATTGATAAATTCCATTTGGAATATAATTATAGATAAAGATTAATACATTATTTGCTCGCATCATGCTCTTTGACCTCTTACCAAATGGTGTTTATAGCTCTTGTGTTATCTCCAGTGTGCACAAAGGCATATGCCTTGATCCACACAGAAAGCCAGTCCAAGTTGGGAATGCTCTGGATTACGTTGATGGTCATGGAGGCCACTTCTGCTCCTTTCACCGACAGTGAGAGCAAACCTGTTCAGAACAGTATATACATCAATCTCGGCCACAAAAAACAGCTTTTGTGAGGCAGATTAATTGTCTGAGGACCACAGACTCCATCCCTGGACCGGAACAGACATACAGCTTGTAGTTTACATATCAAAGGCATTGCATATGACATGCAAATAGCTGCCTAGTGCCAAGCACAACTCAGATTCTAACACTATTTAACACTGGCATACTACCAGTGTGCAGACACCCACCTAGGATGGCATCCAGAGCCAAAGGGCACTGCCTCAGGACCTCTTTGTAGCTGGTGACAGACGAGCGCTCCTGGCCAGCTTTCTTGTAGAGGTTTGCCAACATCATATTGATCTACAAACACAAGTGTTGGGAGAGTCAAGTGTGAGACAGGAGAATCACTAAGAAACGTCACAGCTCTGTCTCCAGGCGTATTCTGAGCAGAAGACACATTTACCTGCTCTGCTGAGAGCCCTATAATGTAGAATGAAGTGTAAAATTGGAATTGTGGCTTTTTTTCAAGTCCAAAGATAAAATTTACATTCTCTTGTATTTGCATAGTGAATCTAGAAATGTGTGCTTTGCATATAAGTCAAAAGATGGGTAAGTGTTTAGATATGATGACAAGAAGGACTTGTATATCCATTACATCAGCCTCTTCCAGTGGATCTCTCTGTATCCATGGAAGTGTTTGAAAGAACAGCCTTAGGAAGGCAGAGAAAGTTTCCATTCAGCTCCTGAATGTGACTGATGAAGGAGCAGAAATTACTTGAGCTCTACACAACACAAATAGCTGTTTCCTGCTACAGTACTTTCATTTATTGGTGCATATAGGCAAAAGGTTTGTTTTACTCAACTTTTTAATCTTTTTCTGTTCCCTATATTGCTCTTTGAACAGAACACTCTGACTGGAGTCTAAGCCATGGGCACTTTTAGGACAATTTAACAGGACACACTGTTGACTGACCTGGTATGTTCAACTATTAGGCCCCTATGACTAACAGAGCCAGTGAGCAGAGAATCCACAGATTTGGCACTGCAAACCACAGTGGCATCTGAATATTTAATATTATATAAATTGTTGTTAAAAAGGATTAAAAGATCCTAAAAGAAGGAGCAGTAGCAAACCTTCTACCCGCCAAATCTTGAGCCTTTCAAAGGTCTTACATGGATCCAACTATGCAGTAAGTTAATAAGATGCACACAAACATTTATCTCTTTTCACTTTCTTTTTAATTCTAACAGAAAGAATACAAAAATAGTCTAATTTTAAAGAAAGAAGTCCAAATAAGCTAATTTTAAATTAGGAAATGCTACCAAACAACACTTAACCACTACAAAAGCATGGTACAAAACCATTACACCTAGAGGCTCTGTTGTTTCTTGACCAGATACTGAGCTACAGATACACTGACCTTGTTGCTTGTGACAAAACCCTGCCAGAACAAACCTTTGGGGTCCTCTGCCTGGAAGGAATCCCATCCAGGATAGCAATGGCATCTTTATCTTGCTTCAGCATTGTGTAACACTCAGCCATTTTGTATTTCACTTCAATTTCTGATGGTAAACACTGAAATAAACAAGGAAAAAATAACTACAACAGTGGTTTAACTAGATAAAAAATGCTTAATAAGATTTCTTCATTAAATGTTTATGCTGTGTTGGAAAATATGCAGTGCAAGGAAGTTAACAAAGCAACTTACTGATAGTTATATCATTCCTGTCTTCAAATGAAAAGTAAGAACTACACATACAAAAAATGTCATGTTTGAGACCATTTTAAGCCTAGAAAACATCACATTGATATGAGTATATTAATTAGCCTTAAGTATCAGGTTTATTTGACATGATAAATCTACATGTCAAATATATAAAGAGATATATAAATACCCACAATCTAAAGTATTTACAAGGCATGTACAGGTGGTGCTCAGGGACATGGTTAGGGCCTTGGCAGTGCTGGGTAATGTCTTATGGATCATTTCCTAAATGATTCCAAAAATACTGAGTCAGCAACAGGAGTTGTAAGGGAGAACATGATCACTTTAAGCAGCACATTATCAGTTGTAAATACCTGGCTCTGGGGAGTTGATGCAGCATTCCCAGTAGAAGGTCTTACTTTGGAAGTTTTACTTAAGGCTTTTTTCTGCTGCAAGGCCATTGTATACTTACTGACAGCATTTCTATATTCTTTGTCATGAAACAGAGAGTCTGCATGGTACACAAGAAGCTGGTACTTCTGAGAGGGTGAGAACAGCTCCCTAGGAGAGATGCAAACAGAGAGGCTAAGATTAGCTGCTCAATAAGGACCAAAACCTTATAGATTCAAAACTTTGGTTTGTCTGCCTTCAACTTCCAACTGTTGCTGCTTCTTTACTGCCCTGTAAGCACCTCTGAGTACCAGATACTAACAACTCACACAAGGGACTATCTCACACATTTACTTTATCTGTAAACAAACAAATGTAATAGCCACTCCTGATACCTCATCAGCAACAACAGCTCATGTTTGGCTGCTTGGCCACTGCCCTCATCCTCCCCACAACAAACCTCACTTTGTCAGTGTCCATTAAAGAAGCTTTTGTTTGAATGCACTGGAGTTTAAAAGGCAACCAAGCTCCTTGTGCAGCTCTCCTGGTCCTAATCCATGTTCTCTGTACAGTTACCTTGATCCTAATCCATATTCCCTATGTAACTATCCTGGCCCTAATCCATGTTCCTTGTACACCTATCCTGGTCCTAACCCGTTTCCACCTTTACAAACCCCTTTATAACGCTCCCAGTATGTTTGTAGAGGCGTTGGATGAGTCAAGGGTTTGAAATGGGATTTGGGCTTCAATTAGTGCCTCAAATTCCATCCAAAATGTAAAACGATAACAGAGAAATAAAGGGAATCACTTGATTCAGGTGATGAGCTGTGAAATACTCAGGACACCCCTGGAAGGAGGAAATCACTCCATCTCTGCCAGGACACACATGTACCAGGTACCCCAAAGGGACACCGAGACATGGCCCTTGCAGGTTTAGGAGCCTAAGGGCTGCACCACGGGGTGCAGGGACAGGGATGGGACAGGGAAAGGGATGGGACAGGGGATGGGATGGGACAGGGGATGGAACAGGGAAAGGCACAGGGATGGGAAAGAGGCAGGGATGGGAAAGGGACGGGACAGGGCAGAGGCAGGAACAGGGAAAGGGACAATGACAGGGCTGGGACAGGGCAGGGCAGTGTAGGACCAAGGACAGGACAGGAACGGGGATAGGACAAATACAGCGTGGGGATAGGGACGGGGCAGAGACAGGGCAGGGACAAGGAAAAGGGTAGAACAGGGATAGGACACGGAAAGTAACGGGGAAGAGGACGAGGGAGAGGCAGGGGCAGGGCGGGGATGGGACAGGGAAAGGGACAGGACAGGGCAGGGACAGAGACAGAGACAGGACAAGGATGGGACAAGGAGAGGAACAGGGCAGTGCAGTGCCAGGGAGAAAAACAGGGACAGGGCAGTGTAGTGATGCCCCCGCTCCCCTCGCCCCAGTCCAGCGCCCCCTGCTGGCAGGGCACTCACGGGTTGTTGCCACTCATGGTGAGGA